TAATAGAAGGATATACACCTAATACTACAGTAAATGCTACTAGTACAAATAATAAAAAGAATTCTCTTTTAGTTAAATCACTTATACTATCTTCAAAGAATTTAGTAAAAGACCCTCCAAAAGATATTCTATTAAACATATATATAGTATATGCTGCAGAGAATACTATAGAAGAACTAGCAAATACACCTAATATAGGTAATCTTTCAAATACTCCGTATAATGACATAAATTCACCTATGAAATTTAATGTTAAAGGAGCTCCACAATTACCTAAACAAAGTATAAAGAATAACATTGAAAATAAAGGCATCATTTGAGTAACACCTTTATAATAATGTATTAATCTAGTACCACTACGGTCGTATAATACTCCTCCTGCACAAATAAATAAACCACTAGATACAAATCCGTGAGCTAAACCTAATAATATTCCTCCTTCTATACCTTGTATTGTATTACTAAATACTCCTATTAAATATACAGCAGCGTGAGATACAGAACTATAAGCTATTAATTCTTTAACGTCTGTAGTTCTTAATGTACTAAAACTAGCGTATATAATTGTAATAACACCTATCACAAAAACTATAAATGTATAATCTAAAGAAGCTTTAGGTAATATAGGTAATATTAATCTAAATATACCATATAAACTTAGTTTTAAAACAATACCTGCTAATACTATACTTCCCCCTAAAGGTGATTCAACGTGAGCTTTTAATAATCAATTGTTTAAAAAAATAGTAGGAGTTTTAACTGCAAATGCTATAAATATACCAATAAATAAAAATACTTGTGTAGTATAATCAAAATTTGTTTTAAATAAAGCATCGAAATCAGTAGTACCCATTATAGAAGACATAGTTAATATTGATAACAATAAGAATAAAGATCCGAATAATGTATATAAGAAAAGGTAGAAACTAGCTCTTACTTTATTACTAGATCCAAATAAACCTATTAATATAAACAAAGGAGGTAATATACTTTCAAAGAAAATATAGAATAATAATATATCTAAAACTAAAAACACAGCTATAAGTAATGTTTCTAATAATAACATAATTATTAAATAAGATTTCACATTTTCAGTGATAGAATTTCAATTAGATACTATTGCTATAGGCATAATAATTGTAGTTAATAAAACAAAATAGATAGATATTCCATCTACTCCTAAATAAATATCGAATAAATTTATATTATAATGTTCTTGTACAAATTGAAATTGATTAGAACTAAAATCAAATAATATAAATATAACTAATGATATTACTAAATTAACAAGAGATGTAACAAGAGCTGTAATTTTATAAGATAATATTTTTGAAGGTGCTGTTTCCGCATCTTCATAAGACATATTACTAGATATTAAAAATATTCCTAAAATAGGAATTAATAATAAAGAAGATAATAACATTATTATCTTTAATAAATAAAAACTTCCCATGTAATTAAACAAAAATTACATCATAAGTAAACAGTTACATGATAATATAAGATCCAAAAATTAGAAATTATTCATTGATCGACGGTAAAAAAAAAAGAACTTATTTTTAAATCGTTTATTGTTAGAATAAGCTTATATTTACAGGGAATATATCAAAACTATATAAAATACAAGGAACTAAAATAATGAATGCAAACACTATTGGTAATAAAACTGTTCAACAGAAAGACATTAATTGATCAAAACGTATTCTAGGGAAAGATGCTCTTACTCAGATAAAAGTAAAGATTAATAAAGAACTTTTGAATCCTAAACTAAACCCATACATGAACCCTTCTAATAAAGGAGTATTCATTATATCTTCAAGAAAATAGTCTAAAACTAAAAGTCAATCTATCACAAATATTTGTCATATTATAGAATCTAAGTAAGTTAATATATTAATAAAATCTATAAATAAATAACCACCTAAGAATAAAATACTTGTTAATATACACATTAAAACGATACTAGAGTATTCAGCTAAAAAGAAGAATACAAAAACAACCGCAGCGTGTTCTGTCATAAACCCACTAACTAATTCAGATTCAGCTTCAGCTAAATCAAAAGGAGGTCTATTTGTTTCTGCCACAGAACCTATAAAGAATATAATAAATACAGGTAATAAAGGTAATAAGAATCAAACTGCTCTTTGTGATTCTACGTTAACAGTTAAATTTAAACTACCTGTAAAAAAAACAACTAATAATATAGCAGAACTTAATATTAATTCATAACTAATTAATTGAGCTGTACTTCTTAAAGAACCTAAGAAAGCATATTTACTATTAGCACTTCAACCTGCTAATAATATACCATATGTAGCTAAAGATGATACAGCTAACATATATAATATACCTAAATTAAAATCACTAATAGCTAAACCAGGTCCATAAGGGATAACTCCAAAACCTAATAATGCAAAAACTAAAGTGATAACAGGTCCTAAAAAGAATAATATTATGTTAGCTTGTGTAGGCGCAACATATTCTTTTAAAAGAAGTTTTAAAGCATCAGCAAATGCTTGTAATAATCCATAATATCCTACTGCATTAGGACCTAATCTTCTTTGCATACTTGCCATAGTTTTTCTTTCTGCTACAGTAACATAAGCTACACTAAGTAAAGCTGGAACAACTACTAAAAGTACTTCAATTATTGAGATAAGAGTTGGCATATAAAACATAAAAAAAAATTTTTTTTCTTTTTATCAATTACCTATAAAAATGAAATAATAGATAAAAATGAAAAGTAAATATATACAAAATTCAAAATTTATTTAACTTATTATTAACAGATTAAACTTGCTGGCTTTAAAAAATAATTATTTGACATTAAATAATTATTTTTTTACTGCAAAAAAAATAAACACAGTTAACATTCCCATTCTAGATTCGAACTAAAATCAGGATATTAGAAGTATCCTGCTCTACCATTGAGCTAATGAGAATTCTAAATTTATTAAAGAATAAATTTATAAATATGTGGTTGCGCCTCATGGTTAAAAATAATTTAGATTGTCAAGAATATCATGAAATATATTTTTAATTAAAAATAATCATAAGCATACAATTAAAGCAATAAAGACTTTTTTTGCTAATCTATAGATTATACTGGCAAAACTTAACTTTGTAAAGGTAAACTTACAAAAGCGTGAGGTTTTGGAGGACTACTTAAAGCTCATTCTAAAGAAGGATAACTTCTGTTTAATAATGCTTGTAAAGTATCAGTATAGAATTGAGGAGTCATTCAAGGGAATCTTGAAGCAGTTTTACCTTCAACTAATTGTGCATATACTATGTATAAGAATAATCAAGCTGATATAACACTAATTATAGACCCAAAACTACTAATTAAATTTCAACCTGCAAAAGCATCAGGGTAATCTCCTATTCTTCTAGGCATACCTTGTAAACCTAAGAAATGTTGTGGGAAGAATGTAACATTAACCCCTATGAATAATAATCAGAACTGAACTTTAGATAACAACATGTTATAGTTTAAACCTAAAATTTTAGGTACTCAGAAGTATCATGCAGCAAACATTGCAAATACAGCACCCATACTTAAAACATAGTGGAAATGAGCCACAACGTAGTAAGTATCATGGAATGCTATATCTAAAGATGCGTTAGCTAAAACTACACCACTTAACCCTCCTATAGTAAACATAAATACAAAACCTAAAGCAAATAACATTGAAGGTGTTAATCTTATAGATCCTCCGTAACATGTAGCTAATCAAGAGAATATTTTAATTCCTGTAGGAACAGCAATTATTAATGTAGCAGCTGTAAAGTAAGCTCTTGTATCTACATCTAAACCAACTGTATACATGTGATGACTTCAAACAATGAATCCTAATATACCAATAGACATCATAGCATAAACCATTCCAATGTAACCAAATATAGATTTATTTGAGTTAGCACTTATTGTTGTACTTATTATACCAAAAGCTGGCACAATTAAAATGTACACTTCAGGATGTCCGAAGAATCAGAATAAATGTTGGAATAATATAGGATCACCTCCACCAGCTGTTTCAAAGAATGATGTATTAAAATTTCTATCTGTTAATACCATTGTTATACCACCAGCTAACACTGGTAAAGATAATAATAATAATACAGCTGTTATAACTACAGCTCATCCAAATAAAGCTAATTTATGTAATCTTATACCAGGAGTTCTCATATTAACAATAGTTGTTATGAAATTTATAGCACCTAATAAACTACTAACACCAGATAAATGTAAAGCAAATATAGCTAAATCTACACTAGGTCCACTATGACTTTGTACTCCTGATAATGGAGGGTAAATAGTTCAACCTGTACCTGCTCCACCTTCTATTACAGCAGAGAATACTAATAATAATAAACTAGGTATTAATAATCAGTAACTAATGTTATTTAATCTAGGGAATGCCATATCAGGACCTCCTACTAATAAAGGTAATAGGAAATTACCAAAACCACCTATTAAAGCTGGCATAACCATAAAGAATATCATTAATAAAGCGTGAGCTGTAATAATACTATTATATAATTGATTGTCTGCTATATATTGAACACCAGGACCACTTAATTCCATTCTTATAAGTACAGAAAATGCTGTACCTAATAATCCTGAAAATAAAGCAAACATTAAGTATAATGTACCAATATCTTTAGCATTTGTTGATAAAAATCATCTTTCGTATCACATACTTATTGATGATTGTAAAGAATTTTTGTTATGTATAGCGTTTAAATGCACGTGGGATGCTTCATCACAAACCTGAACGATATACACAGGCATATTCATTCTTTCGATAAATATATCAAAATATATATTTTTAATTAAAATAAATATTTAATATACTTAATTAATTAATACAAACATAGTTTACTTAATATTATGAAATATAAGTTTTTTATACTATGCATTTCTGTAATATTAAGAAATGTAAATCTCATTGTATTTTAATAAAAGAAGTAAGATAATTGTACGATTTTGTTTTCCTCAGTGTATATAAGATTCGAACTTATACCTTAATGTCCGTAGCACCAGGTTCTACCATTAAACTAACACACTTATTGTTTAAGATTATGGAGGAATTGAACCTCAAACTTAAGATCTGCAATCAAAGTGTAGACCATCTACATCATAATCTTTACCAGACAACAATTTACGCTTATTTTGTTGAGTTAAGGGATAAAAAAAGATTATAATAATAAATGTATATAAACTTTAAATCTTTAAATAAATACCAATCTTGGTTATAAACTAAAAATTGATTTTTGGTTCTTTTATTCTTTTTTTTTTTAGAAAATTAGCTAGGGATTGAACCTAGACATTATTTTATTATAATGTGCATCTTTATATTCTAATTTTTATATTATGTATATAAGATTATATGACATAAAAATCAAAAAAAAATAAATAGTTTTAAAAATTAGTTTGTAATAACCATAGGGTTATTTACTTGCTGTTTTAGGTGTTAAATATAAATCAACTAATGTATTTTCTATTAAACTTATTACTGGTATAATCACAGCAAAATGTCCGAAGTATAAAACTGTACTTATTTGTCCAAATTCTATAAATGGTGTTTCAACGTGTTTAGCACCTAAGCTCATTAATACTAAGAAGTTAGCAACAAAAATGTAAAAGGCTATTTTACTTAAAGGTCTGAATTGTAAACCTTTTGATCTACCTAAATCTGTTATAGGTAATAACATTATAGCTAATATAGCACTAAACATAGCTATAACACCTAATAATTTGTTAGGTATAGATCTTAAAATAGCATAGAATGGTAATAAATATCATTCTGGCACTATAGCAGGAGGAGTTTGCATAGGGTTTGCCATTATGTAATTCTCACTATCCCCTAATACATTAGGCATAAAGAATACAAATAAACTTAAAACAAATATAAACATAAATATAGTTATTAAATCTTTAAATAAGAAATAAGGTGCAAAAGGTAATCTATCATAATTACCTGATATACCCAAAGGGTTACTTGATCCAGCAGTATCATGTAATGCTATTAAGTGCATTAAAGCAAGTGCAGCTAATACAAATGGTAATACAAAATGTAAAGCAAAGAATCTGTTTAATGTAGCATTGTTAACTGAAAAACCTCCTCAAATAAATTCAACTATATCTTGTCCAATTCAAGGTATAGCACTAATCAAGTTTGTAATAACTGTAGCACCTCATAAAGACATTTGTCCATATGGAAGAACATAACCCAGGAAAGCTGTAGCCATCATAAGTATAAGTATAACAGTACCAATAGCTCAAACTAATGTTCTTGGAGATCTGTAAGATCCGTAATACATACCTCTACCTATGTGTAAGTAAACTAAAAAGAAGAAAGCTGAAGCTGTATTACTATGTAAGTAACGAACTAATCATCCGTTATTTACATCTCTCATTATGTGTTCTATAGAATTGAAGGCTTCTAATACATTAGGGCTATAATGCATAGCTAATGTAACACCTGTAATTATTTGTATAACTAAACAAATGGCTAATAAAGACCCAAAATTTCATAAATAACTTATGTTACTAGGTTCTGATGAATCAATAAGATAATTATTAACTAATTTCAATAAAGGATGACTTTTTAATATTCTCATGTGTGTATGTGTGTTTTTAATTTAAAAAAAATTTTTTTTTATTAGAGCTAATTAGATTTATTCTCTATTATGTATCATATACAATATTATAGCTATAGTAGCAAGATTAAGGAATCATTGAATAGGATAAGTCAATTAAAAAGTATATATTAAATTTTAGTGATTAAATACCTATAGAAAAAAAAATTATTTTCTTTTGTGTAAAAATCTTATTATACTTACCACTACATAATATATGTTAAACTAAGAATATTTAAAAATTCATTAGATAATTAAGTTTATGCAGCACCTAGAATTTTTCCTGTCACAGCGCTCTAAAAATTTAAGGTTTTTGCCATCTAAAGAAAAAAATTCTAAAAAAAAAGGCAAATAAATAACATCATAATTTATTAAATAATGAACATTCCCATTCTAGATTCGAACTAAAATCAGGATATTAGAAGTATCCTGCTCTACCATTGAGCTAATGAGAATTAAGAAAAAAGGTATTTTCTATTAAAAAAGTTATTAGAACATAATACAATCCTCTGAAACTAAATAAAAAATTAGTCATTTATTTCTTTATCTAGTCCTTAATTCTTTTTTTTCCTTATTATAAGTAGCAAAAAATAACTTTTTTTTTACTAATTTATTCTATCTTTTTTGTACAAAAAAACAAAATACAGATAAAAATAATAATACAACTAAATCCAAATTAAATTGTACTAAATAGAAAGCAATTAATAAGTATAAAATAACACCCATTAAGATATATAATGCATAACTTGTTACAACACCTGTACTTAAAGATGCTATATTTTTACTTAATTTAACTAATGCTACTTCTAAACCATGAGGTCCTAAGAATTCTATACTTCCTTTATCTAAAACTTTCGTTGTTTGTCCACCTAAATTTAAAACTAAGTTAGTAACATATTTGTTATAGAACATTTCAACTAAGAATCTTTGATTAAAGAAACCAAAAATATTATAACCTAATTTTGAAAACTTAAAGCTAATTAAAGATTCAGGTAAAAATTCAGAAGCTACAAAAGCTAAAATACTAAATGATATAGTAAATATTAAAGGTAATAATTTGAATAAAGCAGGCACTGCAAACTCAGTATCTATCATTATTTCATGTACAGGATGTATGAAAATACTATTATCTATAAAGAAACTAGAACCTAATCCTATAAAAATATCTTTAGTTATATAACCAAAGAATATAGAAAAAATAGCTAATATTACTAAAGGTAAACTTAAGAAAATATCTCCTTCATGAGCATGTTTGTAATATGCTAGAGGTCCATTAGGATTAGTTAAGAAAGTTAAATATAAAACCTTAACTGAATATAATGTTGTGAATATTGCACCTATAACTGCTATAACATAAACAGCTATACTACTAAAATAATATTGACCAAAAGCAGATTCTAAAATAAAATCTTTACTATAGAATCCTGTCATAAAAGGGAAAGCAACTAAACTAAGACTTGCTATTAATATAACAGAATATGTTAAAGGTAAAAATGAAATTAATCCACCATATTTTCTAAAATCTTGGTTATCTGCAACAGCATGAATAACTGCACCTGCTCCTAAGAATAGTAATCCTTTATAGAAGGCATGATTAACTAAATGGAATAATGCTATATTATAAGAAGATAAACCTATAGCTATAACCATCATACCAAGTTGAGACATAGTAGAATAAGCAATAACTTTTTTAATATCTTGTTGGAATAATCCTACAAGAGAACTAAAAACAGTAGTAATAGCTCCTAATCATAAACATAATAATAATATAGTAGAACTGTATTCTATTAAAGGTGATGAACGTATTAATAGATATACACCAGCTGTAACCATAGTAGCAGCGTGTATTAATGCAGAAACAGGAGTAGGACCCTCCATCGCCATAGGTAATCAAACGTGAAGACCTACTTGTGAACTTTTAGCCATAGCACCTATTAATAAACATATCCCAATAATAGTTATTACATTTTCATTCATGTATGGTGCTAATGAAAATACTGTAGCATAATCTAAATTACCTAAACTTCATAAAATAGCAAACATTCCTATTGTTAAAAAGCAATCACCAACTCTATTAGTTAAGAATGCGGAAACAGAACTTTGGTTTGCTGCTATTCTAGTGAATCAAAAACTTACTAATAAATAAGAACAAACACCAACACCTTCTCAACCTACAAACATTAATAAATAGTTGTTTGCTGTTACTAATATAATCATCATAAAAGTGAATAAACTTAAATAACTAAAAAATCTTTGTATATGAGGATCATTACTCATATAACTTATTGAATAAATATGAACTAAAGAACTAATAATTAACACAGGTATTAACATACTTACTGTTAAACTATCAAATTCAAAACCTCATATTATATTAAATCATTCGCTATCTATTCATCTAAATAATTCAATAGATACTGGTATATTATTAAATCCTACTTCAAAAAAAGCGACGATTGCTAATATTGTTGTTAATATTACACTAGAACATGTAATAAACTGTGCTCCGCTAACTCCAACTTTTCTACCAAAAAAGCCAGCAACTATTGATCCTAATAAAGGTAAAATTATTATACTTAAATACATTATTTATATTCTATTGCTATACTTCCTCTTAATCTGTAGAAAGCAACTAGAATACCTAAACCTATAGCAGACTCTGCACCTGCTACTGCTATTATATAAATAGCATAAGTTTGTCCTATTATATCGTCAATGTTAAGTGAACTTACCAATATTAAAAATGTTATAGATAATAGCATTATTTCAATTGAAATAAGCATTAATATAATATTTTTTCTATTTAACACAAATCCTAAAATTCCTATTAAAAAAAGTATTAGTGTAATATTCATTTTTTATTCTTTTTCTTTTAAATTATTGTAGTATATTTTAAACTAAAGTAAAAAATATAGAAGTTCAAAATTTTTAGATTAAATAACTTTAAACTTCTATAAGAAATAGGTGACTCGAACACCCAACCTTCCGTGTGTAAAACGGTTGCTCCACCAATTGAGCTAATTTCTTTTAAAAAAGTTGCTTTAAAGCAAATCTAAATTAACTTTTTTGAATTCATCCCCTTATTTTGCACTAGCTTGGCGAAAGAATAAACCAAATTCATACCAGAAAGAATTCTAACAAGAATCTTATTAAATATATTTATTTGAAAAAAATCTAGGTATGAAAATGGCGTAAATATCTATCAATTAGGGGTTAAAGGAAAAGGTTCTATTAAACATAAGTTTAAAGAATCTGTTATTGTTCCTCTAATCAAGTCAAAAATTTCTCCAGAGATACTGACTCAATAACAATCGGCATAGAACTGTGTAAGATTCCACATATTTCAGAACATTGACCATAGAATACTCCTTCTCTATTGATGAATACAGATACTTGATTTAATCTACCAGGGTATGCGTCACATTT